TATAGCATACATTATACGAAGTTATACGAGGTAGATCCAACCATAATTTTATAGTTGGATCGATCATAATCCATTGTGGTATAAATATTTGGTAATTATTACCAAATCACATCGTCCCCATTACCAAATATTTGGTAATGGGAACCAAATCACTTTGTCCCAATTACCAAAATGCTTCTTCAGTGCAGTATTCAGCAAAATGGCGGCCACTGGATACTGCACTGTGTGAGACGAAATGGGAACGCAACCATAGTTTGATAGCTTGATAGCGAAGGTTATTTTGACGGTTATTTAAAATAAAAAAATTTTAATCTAAGTATTTTAGATTTCTTCATTATTAAATTACTATAATAAGTGCGCGCGCGCAGCGCGCGCCTGTATTGTTCTAGTACTTAACAAAATTTGGACGCTGAAAAAATCGAGATACATAATTTTTACGATTTTATTAATATATTTAGCTTGTTGAAAAGATTTTAATAATATAAATAATGAATTTTTTAAATGCAGTATTTTTTTAAATTAACTTTCTTCAGAAGATTTTAATTTATCTTTCTTTCTGTTTAAATATATAATATAATGTACATATTACAGTTAAATATAAATTAAAGTTAGCATAAATTTAAAAAGTGGCATGTCACAAAATTAAAGAAATTTAATAGATTATTTTAAACTTTTTGGCAAGGTCTCCGTGCTTATTCTATCATTCATGTCCGTGGAGCGATTCATTCTAATCGCAGCTCCTTTAAAACGTCATCAAGCGATGACATCTCAAGCTGCGCGTTCGTCGATGATCGTCATCTGGATTGTTGGATTTATCCTTGCTCTTGTGCCAGGTTTGTTTCCGCGAAACAACATTTTTCTCATCTAATTTTCAATTCAATTTAAATTTGAAATTTTATAAAATATATTATTCATTATTGCGAAAAATCTCCAAAATTTTCGAATATTACGTATATGTTTTTGAGCTGAAAAATACACCATTTTAAGAAACTTGAAAATTTTTTTATGAGAAAATATTTCTCTTTCGTAATCAATTGATTATCTTATCTGGATTCAAAGTTATCCATTGGAGAAACAGCACGAGATTCTACGGTGTCAATGGGATGTGCTTTCCTCTACACATAGACGATCCATATCTGATAGGCTGGGAATATTCAGCCTTTATCTTTCTGGGACTTAATCTTTTAGGGTAAATCGCATACGAGCTTGATAGAGTCTCATTTCATGGTTGTTCTGATATTAGAAGAGAATTTTCAAAGCTATCATTGCATTTATTTGCAGATTGATGATTATCGCTTACGTTTATACCGCTATGTTCGCCAGCATCTGGAGAACGCGCCACGCCACACCGTTGTCGATCGGCGATTCCGAATTTGCTTTCAGATTTTTTCTAATCGTGTTAACAGATGCGGCATGTTGGGCGCCGATTATAGCGTTAAAGATTCTCGCAATGATGAAGTATCCAGTGCCACGTATGTAGAAATACTAATCCATATTTTCGCGTTCCTACCAATTCGTTTCATTAACAATATTGATACTATAATATTAATAACGCTTGAAATATGCACGCAAATCGAAAGCTTTTTCTTTTATTGTTTAATTAAATTTAAATAATACTAATAACTGGATGAAATTTTCAGCTGATTTGCACGCTTGGATTGTGATTTTTATCCTGCCGGTTAATAGTGCGATCAATCCGCTGTTATATACTTTTACCACGCCGAAATTTCGCGAGAAGTTCAATGAGAGTTGGTGCGGAAAAGTGCGTAACTACATATCGAGGAAATATTCCAGACAAGGTTTGTTATACATTTTTTCTATGTTTCCTATCATAATAAATTTTGTAATAGATTTTTAAATATTTTAATTATTTTAATGTAAGTATAAATTTATAAGAATTTATTTGCAGGATATTTACACGTGAAACTGTATGTGTAAAAATTTATATAACAATAAAGACAATTGGTTAAACATTATTCAGTTTAACTGATTAACTGATATTATATGATGTTCAATTATCTAAATTTGCAAAATGCAAAAGAAAATTTTTCAATATGAATAATGCTCGAATACTGCTGCCGAAAGCTCACAAAACATTCATTCCTTTTATCGCAGATTCACAGTCATCGGCCACTACCAATAAAACCACGATTAATGATAAAAACACGATACAATCATTATCTATCTGGACGAAATATGATGAAGACAAGAATAATACATCACTATTTATCGACTTTAACGGTGAAAAAATTCTGTTTGAGAAGCACGATTAAAATTTAATAAACTTGTTCATTAGTCATGTCGCGCTTCTATTAAATGTTAGATAGATTACTGATATTCGTGCATCGTAGAACCAAAATAGATCGTAGTTTAAATAATATATAAATCTTCACAGCATGTGTATATCCAGCAGAGTAGAGTAGCTTAAAACTAGCTAGTGAAATCCAATCGCTTGATTAAACAAAAAACCTTTATGAAGTTGCATCTTTGTGTAATTTCCATTCAATCGAATTGATTTCAATTGTAAATGTTTCATTCTGAAAAAATTGTCTGTGACATAGAGAATAGTAGCATAGAGAATAATTATATGCTGCTTCATTGCTCGCGACAAATGTTTTTTCGTCTATTTTTTTACAAAATTTGTCCTGGTATAACATATAATCTATGATGTTGCTTGTGTGTTTTAGAAAATGCACTGCTTTCATATTTTTTAGTTTTGCCAATTCTGTTAGCAAGATATTGCTAAGTTTTCACGTGACCACCCAACGGACGGCATCATCATTAGACTGAAGAGGGTCCGCAAATCCGACCGAAACGCTTTTACATATTTTTCTGTTGTATTTTCTATTCTTACAATAAATTGTTTTTCGCACACCAACACTCGCGTTCTTTTAGTTCTTATTGCTTATTTAAATAATTTTATCATTACAAAACCATTGTTATTTTCTTATTTCTTTGTGTTAGTACACGGCAAAAGACACGTAGACACCTTTTGTTTTTTAATGTATTGTTTCACACGTTTCATACATCAGTAATCTCGATATGCAGATATTTGAATGTAAAAGTCCCAACGGAATATTCGTGAGTATTCACTCACGCGCGGGAAGATTGTGCTCAGAAATGTACATAAATTATTTTCTGTACTTATTTTCTTCTTCTGTACTTATTATTTCTGTAATTATTTTCTGATGAAAACAGAAACGCAACTACAATTGATTTTAATGTATGATCATATTCTATCGTGGCTTTGTTATGCGAAAGAATTAGTGCCACTTTTTTGTATTACGTAAATTATTTGAAAATTTCTCGAAATAAGGCGTAAATAGCGGCAATATAATTGAAATTATTAGTAGAATGGGGCATGTTTCGTCTATCATATAAATATACGTAAAGTTGCAAATTATTCTGTTAAATGGTTTTTTTAATACAGTTTTTTATAATAAAGTTTTTTTACAGAGCTGTTAAAATAAACATATTTTTAGAATTTCTTAGAAATGGAAAAAAATTGAATTTTGTGATATAATTAAATTTTATATTTTGTTAAAAAAAGTTTGTCCACAATTTATATACATAAAAAATACTTTAGAAGATTCTGATTTTTTATTTTCGATTATTTCTAAGTGGGCCACTGAATTTAAAAATGGTCGTGAAAACCTGAAATGATGATTTTCGCATTTTCCAAAAAATGCAACAACACCAAAAATTATTTTAAAAATCCATGACGTAGTTTTAAAAAATCACTAGTTAAAAATATCTGAAATAGATATCTCAGATGAACGTGCACTTTATATCTTAACTCAATTGTCAAATTAAGTCACAAATCTATTTATAAAAAAATTTTATTTATAGAAAATATATTTTTCTTCAGCTATTAGTTATTCGTTAGAAACTTTGATGTAAATAATAAATGGATAAAATTATATAGGCTTAGTTTACACCGATTGTTTAGTAGGCATACAAAGTACTAAATCAGCTTTTTTGATTGGTGTAGATTTTACACTAAACGATTTATACCTATCGGAGAAGCAGATTTAGTATTTGGTATGCGTACTAAACAATCGGTGTAAACTAGGCCTTAGTTAATTATATAGTTAAGTATATAGTATAATATAGTGTAGTATAGAATATTATGTAATTAAAGCTATAAATACAAAACTATGAATAAAATAATGAGATTCAAATATAAAATGTGATTTTTCATAAAAATAAATTAATCTCATCAGAAACACATTTTTTTATTTTTTACAATTAATATTAATTGCATTGCATGTTCCCTGTATTAAACCCCGACCTATAACATATATCGTTAGATATATAAAACACTAATCAATGCTAATTTTTGTTAGAAAATTTAATAAGCAAGATTTCTCTCAACAAAATTCACTATATTTATACACAATTTGATTTGATTTGCATGACATCTATTCAAGAACAGCTATTTAGAAATTATGGGAATTGTATATAAATATATACAATGCATACGGTTAATTATTTAATTATTTAATGCACCAGTCTAATAATTATATTGCTTAATAATATGAAATAAATTTATATTGATCAATACAATACAGTGAATTTTGCTTAGAACCAATTGGTGATATCTATTTAATTTGCTAATATAATTTTTGGAAAGAAAATATACATACTTAAATCTCGGAAGGTTTAATTCGTAAAATCACAGGAACACTGGTGCATGGCAAAATCGCTAATTCTGTGACAACGGCTGTAACAAGATCAGCCGGTGTCACATCATATGTAATATTTAAAAGATTTAACGATTTCTTTGTTCGCCAATTCGACAGCAGAGACTTTTTCGAATTATTGTTTGATGGATGATTTACGAGGTCGTCCGCATTACCTGAAATAAAGAAAACAGAACAAAGTGAATAAGTAATATATCAAGAAATACTGATAATAGAAAAGTTACAAATATAAGATTAAAAATTATAATTATAGTTCATGCGAAATATTGTTAACTACGTATCCTCTCTTAAAAAAGACGTTAAAATGTACATTTCATTTATTTTTAGAATCTTATATCATTTGATAGGCCTAGAACTTTATTGTGCATTAAAATTTTATATTATAGAATTCTAAACCATTTTTTTTTAAGATTTTAATGCATGCAGTAAAGAAAATTTACATTCTAAAATTCTAATCTAACAAATGTTATGATAAAATATTATAAGGCATAAAAATGAATAAAATATACATTTTATTCTAGTTCTAGTGAAATAAACTTAAATATAAAACTCAATATTAATGTATAAAATATATACAGCTTTTCAGAATAACAGTAGTGATCAAAATATTCTCTATTTACCTAATTCATTATAAACGATGGAATCAGTTTGCACTCGTTCACATGATTTGTGTGTCTCGCATGCTACTAAAACAGGCACATTGAAGGCTTTTGCCATAAGAGCTACCTGTGCAGTTCCTACTCTTGACATTACAGCTCCATTGGCCAATATTGCATGGGCGCCGAGAAACACTTTACTGACCTAGACAGTGAAATAATACACTGGCTTTAATAACAAAAACACATGAGTCAAGACTACTATGAAGAGCTACTACTTTCAAGAGCTTATTTCCAAATTATTTTAAAATAACATTTTTGGAAAACGGAAGTTACGTGTTTTCTTATTAGAGTATTATAAATTTTTTGAAGCTTTATAACACATACCATGGTCTATTTAAAAAAATATAATTTTATATTTATAGATAAATTCTTGGATCTACTATGTGCATGGATGCTTACTTCCGGCATAATAAAACTAAGAGCATTGATCAATATGTAAGAGCATTCAATTCCATGCTTTGCTAACCGCCTCAATAGTTCTTTTCCTTCTAACCATGGCCTACCATCGACCACAATTACACGAAATTGTTTGCCTGCAGCATGTGCTTCCACTAATATCTTATGGATCAAGGAAGAACTAAAAAAAATATAATATATTATATATTGTTTATAAATATATATCGTTTTCTTAGGAATCTTTTATAAATTAGAAATGTAAATCCATTTTAAGATTCTATGCATTTAATTTTACAAATTATCAATCTTAATTTTAAAATTATACTTTATAAATCTGATACTCACTAGCCATATGTTAAAATAACGTTCCCATTCGATATTTTACTCTGTATCGTTATGGATATCGCTTTGTCAGCCAGTTGAATCTGTTCCGAAATATAGGTGTCTATTACTCCTTGTAACTTATTTTTTGCCTGAAAAGAATAAAATATGAAACATAAGAAAGTCAAATGCAAGATTCAAACAAAATTGTAAGCAATAATAACTATTACTCAAATTATTTTCTAGATATTTCTTTGTACATATTTTTTGGACTTGATCACAAGTCTTGACTATTTGTGATAGATTTATATCAAATAAAAAAATATCATAATTTTGGACAATAGAGCAAGTAAAAAAAATGTTAACATGAAATTACTTCTTCATCTGACAACGTAGGTGAAAATTGCGTCATTTGCCAATTGAGATGACGCATTGCATTATGCATTGAGACTGCCAATGGTCTACAACGTCGCAGGTATGCTAAAGATTCTTGTAAACTAGCCTCCAAACCTCGAATAAAATCAGCCTGTGCTGGTTTCTCAAAATCTTTGACCACGCATTTAATAGCAGCCAGAAGTGCAACACATCTCGCATTACTGCCAACAATAACTTTACTTTTGTACTGAACACCCAGCCTAACTATCGCTGGATGTATATTTGAATTAACAATAGCTATGTTGATCAACGAAAGCTCTCTTTCATAGTTTAAATGTTTAAATAAATTAATTTCATGCGTGTCCTCCTTTGTTACACTTTTTGCAACACTTTTCTTCACTAAACACTCAGATGTTGTCTCTACACATGGTTTAACAGGTTCGTCAGCTTTTGCTTTATCCTTCGTCAATTGTTGCTGCTGCTTTGCAGCTCTCTGAGCCTCTTGCTTAGCTCTTCGTTCTGCACGTAATTCAGCTTTGCTCTTTCCTTCGCAGTTATCTTCAGATGTGCCATTCTGCACAGCAACGTTTGTAGATTCAATCGTATTTGCCTTAGATACTTCTGCAAATCGCAAGTTTTTTACACGTGCTTTTAAAACTGTCTTTATATCCACTTCTGGATTCTTGCAATCAACTACCATGTGTTCATTATTGATATTGTTACATGTTTCTATAGATTTATCTGCTGCTTTACTATTTATTTCCTTTGCTGCCTCTGTTTTCACGTTTTTTTGTGGAATTTTACAACTGGACACTGAAGCTACATTCGTGACATTGTTGTCTATTTTTTCTTCTACCGTCACATTACTTTTCCCTTTTACCGCTTTGGCAGCAGCCTTAGCAGCCTTCTTTGCTTCGCGTTCTGCCTTAATCTCCTCTCTTGTCTTTTGCGACACATTTGGCTTTCCATCTAGCTTCTGCGACATGTTTGGCTGCTAGTCGTTAGAACCAATGATTGAATTGCTGCAAATATTGTTCCTTTTCGCAATAAGATTCTTCGTTGTCAAATAATGTCATAAACATCTGTCAAAAATCTAATACATTATCTATCACCAAACAAATGTAGAGTTTCAAATATGTCTGTAGAATTTTATTTCCGTTATGCACAATGTTGTTGCATCAGATCAAGAAAATAACAGGGGGAATGAACACAAAACTCAGAAACATATGTTCACAACTCTACCGACATGATGAATAATTACTCCATCTAGCAGATCAAATAGAAATTAACAATACAACTTATTATAGTACAAATATACATGTATATTATTACAGAAATACATATAAATCAGTTTTTAATAGTTGTAAAAAATTATTCAATAATTATTAATAAATAACACATTCTTTTTTATCTCATGAGAAATTATTATGTGCTCCTTTTTCTAGTTCTACTTTAGTATAAATATAAATATAGATAACAGACACATCTCATTATTATTAAAGATCAACGATTAATTCTGAAATTGTTTACTTGTGACTCGTAATTTTCAGTGATCGTTGAATATTCTATTTTTTTTTAACATTTTTCTAACATAGTTTTTAAATGTCGATTATTTTTCCTTTTCTCATCATTCTTTTAGTTTTATTAATCTAAAAATTAAAATTAGTCTATTGAAAAGATAAAATAAAAATTAAAGACAGTAAATATGAATCTTTTTTTCATTTTATTTATACAATTGTCTTAAGATAAACAAATTATTTCTTTTGCGCGGCCGCGGCCTCGTCTTCCCGTTGGTAGGATTGCAGTAGTTCTTGCTTCTTTGAGGCAATTCGTTCCGCACGGCGTTTACGTGCTTCTCTAACTTTCGTGCGCCGAGCTTCGGCCTGATCAGACAGCATCTCTGCACGAGCTTTTTCGGCTTTCTTTTTGTGGATAAACTCCATGAGCACACGCTTGTTCTTGAATACGTTACCCTTAGCTTTCATGTACAAAGAATGGTACAAATGTCTATCAATCTTTTTTGTTTCTCGATATTTCTTCAAGAGACGACGTAAGACTCTCATGCGTTGAATCCAAAGATCCTGTATAACACACATAAATAGTTTTATATATTCTTGGCTTCATTAATTGTCCATCATTATAATTGTATATTGTTCCTTTTCGTAATAATATTCTTCGTTGTCAAACAATGTCATAAACATCTGTTAAAAATCTATATAAATATTTTATTCCATGATTTTATTAAAAAATAAAAAACAGTAAATTTAGTATATAAATGTTATTAGAATTATAAAACGCAGTTATTTGTACAATATGCTATAAAACTTCAAACAATTACAATAAAGTCATAATTTTGTTAAACTTTATAACATATCTGAGCTTTATATAATGATACTGATTATATACTGATTATATTAAAATGTTTTCCATATCAATTATTTTTCTCTAATTATTATTATTACCAAATAAAAATATAATTTCTAGAACATATATACCTTTTGAGGTGTACGTGCGTTAGCAGTACCCTTCCTTTTACCAAAACCACAATGACGTCCCTTACGTCTAGCTTCAGTATTTTTGCGAACTCGGGCTCTAGAGTGTACGGCAACTGGCTTCTTAATAATGAGACCATCTTTAATCAATTTCCTGATGTTTTGACCTGAAAAAATACATAATAAACTGAAAACCTCTTGATATTTGAAAAAAAAAAGAATCAAGTAGCAATAAATAATTCTCTTGTTGATTGTAAACTTTTATTTATAAAGCAAACAATACAATTTATAAAAGTAACTTACGAGAGTTTGTGTTTGAAATCTCATTGATTTCATTAGGATCCAGCCAAACTTTTTTTTTGCCACATCGCATAACAGAGGCTGCCAGCCTCTTCTGCAGCTTTAAAGAACTGTAAAAGACAAAAATGTGGTTATGTCGACATAACCGGCAATTCGTCTATCAGTGACACGTGAAACCTTCATCATGAAAATAATTGCATGTACATGAAATTTTATCTACTAGGAAAGAACGATTATTGATCGAAATCAACATTTTATCAATGTAATAAGCCCATGTGCTCGATAGGTCGCGAACGACGTGAACAGCACATAGGAAACATGTGCAAATTTCTACTACAAAATCACATTTGCATTCATAGCAAAATTTTAACGCGACTGTAATGAAATTAAACGTGTTTAATTACAATACTTATCAAAAGAGCGTTAAATAATATTAAATTTATCGCTATGAACAAACCTCATGGTGCAACTCTAAAAGCTGCTCTCTAAAAAAGAAACTCAAGATGGCTGACACTATACTTCCTTCTTCATTAAAGCTAAAGGCCGATATCGCATGACGTCAAGTGGCATACTTGTCCAATGATTTGATTGGCTAATACAATCATCTTTTATGTAAATTAAGAAATGCAATTTGAAGCAAATTAACAATACGATCAACCTTCTATTTTATCAATGAAATCGTGGTGAGTATCTTACGCCATCTGCTCCGAATATTTAGCTGACAGGCTTTATTTATTTACTCTCTGGAGCTAAGTATTCTGAGAATAACGTTGTCGTGAGAGAGGTGTTTTTCTTACGACTATAATTCTTGCATCGCTTCTGCGATATCGAAAGGTAACATCGCTGGCGATATTCAGTCGCTATTATGACAAGATGTATCTCATGCAATGCGTTTCGCTGTAATGGAATTAAGTCACGCGAACGTTACATCTTTGAAGCATCTTTTGTAATAACGATAATGCGAGCGACTTGTTCGTTTTATTGCTTTTATTATTTAATTTGATGCAATGAATATTTATGGATGATTTTCTTTTAATTTTCTTCTTTTAATATATAACATTGCATACTTTGCTTAGAAAATAATATCAGCTTACCTGAAGTATCTTTCAGACTTCTTTCACTTTCTTTGGAAGTATCCACTATTTCTATTGAAATAATATTATATATATATATATATATATATATATATATATATTTTAATTCTTCTACCTTTTTTTCTTTGAAATATAATATGCAGTTCTTTTTATAGAATTATACGAACTTGTTACTACTATGTTATCTTCGATTTCTATAGTTTTTTATCTTGGCATAAAAATTATAGTAAATCTAAAGATTTTAAAAACTTTTATAGTTTTTATAAACATTTAATTTTCTTTTTTTAATAATCAAAGCAAAAAAATAAGAATTATTATTGCTTTTTGTCTGAAATTTATCAGGCAATTGTAATCTTCTTAAATGCCTCTTTAAATATAACAACACTTAGTATTAAGTTAACTATTTTCAATAATAAATATATAAAATATGAAGAGACATACATATCTATACACTTTCAAAAACGAGGTTGTTTAAGATTTGATAGTCATAAGTTAAAATAGATTGGAACTATTAAACAACAAAAAATAATTTAGTTTGATTTTCTTGTCATGTAACATCTCTAACAACTATCATTTCTAACAGCTATGTCCAATGAGGAGCGCCTGAGGAAACTTTTGTCAGATTTGGGAAAAGCTACTTTACGCGGAGTTCGAAAGTGTCCAAAATGTGGCACTTACAATGGTTCACGTGGTCTCTGTTGTAAAAACAAATACTGCGATGCAGTATTTAAGGAACCTGGTGAAAAGCGAAAACTGTCCACAGAAGCATGCAAGCTTATCACAGGTTCATCAGCGCAAGTGTTCTCTGTACGAGTTAGAGACAAGGGACCTGATTATCGCGGTTTTGTACAGTTGCCGTTGATAAATACTACTATTTCAAGTGATATTACAACACTCATTTCGCAAACAACTGCGTTATGTTTTGTGGATAGCTGCGAGAGAAATTTTGACACCAGTGTTCTCAAATGTCATGTAAATATTTTATACTATAAAATTTTATATATTAAAATTATGTATTTGTAGTTACATTTTTTGTATGTTTTGTGTATTTTTTAGGAGAAAGATTATTCAGATTATTCAGTATCTCCATGCCAACACATTCAAGCTGCATTGAAGTGTTACGCAGAAGCACAGCCATTGACTTTAAAAAATTCTATTCTGATGTCGATGAGTGTAAATAATGAAACAAAGCAAGAGATATGGTTATTAGCAACGGAAACTTCTGGTCCTTTAGTACAAAGAGTGTCAAAGAATATAATGGCAGTGAAATGTAAAGCTTCTCCAAAACATCCGCTTGGTTATCTTCATTTTTCTTTCTTTATTAGTAAATCTAAAGATAGAATTGAACATCGTTACTTTTGCAGTTGTACTACTTTTAAAGTAAGTAATATATGTAATTTTAACAATTTTAATTGTATTTGAAGTGTGATATTAGTAAAATTTTTCTGGAATAAATTAATAAAATATTGTATTTCAAAAGATTTAATTTTTTTAATAATTACAATGGTTACAATAAAAATAAATATTTGAATTAATAATGAATTGTTTAATAGAACAATTTGTTTACAGAATACAACCAAATCAACAGGAGACAAACTAGACGGTACTTCGTCATTACAACCAAAGCGATGTGTGCACTTTTATGCATGTATTTGTGCGTTTGCTAGTGATCCAAAGTTATCTGAAGAATTTAGTTATTATATAAATTTAGATAAAACGCAATCAAGTATAGAAAGATCTCTGACAATTATATCGCCAAATGAAGAGGAAGATAAAATTGTTGGAATTGGTAAATTGCATAAATATATTATACATTTAAAAATCTATCTTACGTGTCTTTTTAATGTTTAATATATAATCAATGTAAAATTTCAGATCTCGATAGTTTAACTACAGATGAAACTGATACTCAATTGTTAATTTTTCGTGATGATACTTTAACTGTACAAAGTTTAGATGGAAATAGATTAGATTTAGACTCCATGAATTTGGATTCTTCGATTTTACCGCATGGTATTGTTGAAAATATAGAAGTAGAATGTGATCGCAGTTTATTGGACGACAACAACATAATATCACAAGTAAAGCATAATATACGATATTTGTTTAAGTTACAGTATTTATTTCAATAAGATATAAGTTTTAAAATAATTAAGTTTTGCATATTATTATACAGGTTCATAATTTGGAAGTAATTGATCAAAATGGTGTTCAATTGGGAGAAGAAAATACCATAAAAATATTGGATGACCAAGGGACAATTAGTGCAAAATACAATGTGCTCAATAATAGTCAGTACATATTAAATGATAACATAAAAATATTGGACGCGAGCACATTGAAGGTTCTCGATGTAAATACTACAGTTTTAGACATACAAAATCCAAAGCTCATCGATAATAATATTTTAAATAACAGCAGTGTTAAGATAATTGACAGGAACACAATAGTTCATTACGATAACAGAAGTGTACCGAATACAGAAGGTAACGCAACGCAATCGACAATTTCAACGAAACGAAAGAGAGATGAAAAGCCCGTAAACAGCAGCAGCTTGAATCTGAATTCGATTGAACCGAGAAAAACAAAGACAAAATCGCAAATTGTCAAAAAGTACCAAAACACTTGTGATGAGTTGGACGAGGCTAACACGAACTTACCGTTTATAAAATGGCTCGCGTCAATAACCGAGCGAATAAATCAGACGATGCATTTTCAGTTCGACGGCAAACCTGATCCCTTGGTGTTTCATGTGCCACAAATATTCTTTGATTGCTTGCGCGAGCGAATATCTTGTGGCGGCAAGAAGAAACGTTTGCCAAATTCGACGACAGCGTTTGTTAGAAAAGACGGAGTACCTTTGGGAACATTCACCAAGTATACGTGGCAAATTACAAATATTCTGCATGTAAAGAGTATTTTTGAGACACCATATATACCTTTGGAAATTACGAGAAGTTTTGTGCAAAACGCAGATGGAACGTACGAATTGTACAAACGAGAGGAAACGGAAATAGATCGTTATAAGAAGACGAATAACAACGCGTTGATTAAACCATTAGAGTTGAAAACATATTTAAAAGTGGGTAAGTAGATTGGTTATAAAAATAATATATTTTATTATCTGTTAAAGAATCTAAATAATTTACTGAACTTGTTAAGAGTTGAATTGATATGCTAAAGAATATATCATTAATAGAATACATCGGTAAAATATTTTTATTTAATGTGCTTTACTTGGCTTTGTTTTAGGAAATACTTCTCCGAACCAAGTTGAACCTACACCATTCTTGATAGAGTGGATACCGGATATTTTGCCAATTTCAAAAATTGGTGAGCTTAGAATAAGATTTGAATTTGGACACGTAAAAAATGAAACAAGTCACAAATGGAGGAAAATTGCTCTTTCTAAAAATTACTAAAGCTTTTACTTTCGAAATACCGTTTGCAACTAAATTTTTACTTTTCTACCGTGATTATTTCAATGATATAAAAATATTATGGGCCAAAGGACAAATATTAAACGTACGATATGAGAATAATCACTCACTGTCATAAAGAATCCGACATTCGAATTTAAATAACTAAAATTTTGTTAACAGAATTAATTTGTCTTTAAGATGAATAAAATAACTGAATTATATATGTGATGATTGTGCAAATAATAGCTATATAGTATCTCTCTAGCAAATATTAATACAGTTTTAAATCACTAATTCAAAGACTGATGTATAACTATCGCGCTAAACAAATATAATATGCAAATAATTTTACAAAATACTAATTTTGTTTTACAATTAACAAGAATTAGTAATTTTTTTTACTATTGTATTATTTGCGTAGCGATATATCTATAGTTGCTATTTATATCTATGTAATTTTTACTTGACACAAATACTCTTTATTTTACTATGTTTATTCTTAATAATGAGAAGAATATTATCAAATTTTTGAAAATATATGTTAAAATTATTAATAATTCTACTTTACGTTATAGCGTTTGAAATATTGTGATATATATTGTAAATATACGTTTTAGATTTTACGCTGTTATGTAAAAAGAGTATTTATATTATTTAACATTGGCTCTATTTTGTGAATATATAGATTTGGAAATAAATTATATGTACGTAAAAAAATATATAATATATAAATTATGTGTAATATTATATGAAATATATGTATAAAATTACATTAAATGAATGATATACAAACAAACTTTAATATTTGTTTTATATCTTTTTAAGAATATCATTTTTTATTTAGAATAGTTTAATGCTTTCACAGATATATGTTCGATATCTTTAAAATTTTTTTAATTTGCCGTCAGAACAAAAGTACGTTATTTTATTGACTTTGACCAATAACAAGAGAGCTAATGTTTATTGTGGTACAATTTTATATTAAATATGCTGATTGGCTATTAAAAAGAGAATTTCAGTTGTGACAATAATTTTTAGGGGATTTCAGGAATTTCTCTAGCCGTTAGCCAATCAGCGTGCTGATATATTGTCACCTGATCATGCAATTGCGCATGATCAGAAATTTGTTAAATCATTGTTCATTTCCGGAGCGGGTAGAAGATACACTTCGTTTCGTCTATGAAAAGTTTGAAAAGAATCAAAGAAAATAAAATCTTTTGAGGCCTTCATCGCATGTTTCATTGCAGCGGATTGCATCTTTACAGCCTGCAGCGCGTTATTTTGCTCATGTTTGATACAGGACGACGATATTATAAGTAAATATTACTTTGATTTTCTAAGTTCTCGAATTCGTATAGTTTCACAAAATGGCCCTTTATTAATTTTTCTTGTTTCTTCATTATTTCAGGGTAAGTGTCGAGAAATACCTTAGAAAATGATTCTCATAGAAGCTTCTTCGTAATCTAACGAGGTAATTATGGAATTAAACGGTTAAAGCGTCACAGATATTCGTCCATATATGGACTATTAGACAAAATATGCATAAATTTGAACTTGATTTCTACATCAAATAATTATTGTGATCACATTTTTTAAGGTTTTACGTGTTTTCAACATTAATACTGCATATGAAACAATATATTTGTGTTAATTCATTACTTTTATCTATTTATATTATTTATTAAAATATTTCAAATTTTTACGTTTACTACGAATGGCTTACAATTGTCTAAAATTAACATATTGTGATAAATATGTATTTTGCAAATATGAATCTTGCACACAACATATTGCAAGTATCTTATAAAAAGATCATTATAACACGCATATATATAATGCGTATAATTACTATTGTATCAGTTAATATTAGATCCGCTTTCGTATATTTGGAACGGATCGGAATCTTCTTTCCACTGTTATTTTCTACATACATCTATATTATATTTTATATACATATGTATGCACACAGAATATACATGCACACACGCCTGTAGTGCGCCTAGTGCACTTGGTCAATTTCTACATGCTCAGTTGACGAGCTATAATGCAAAGTGCTAACTGAAAATTCTCATTGACCCATCTTATTATTATACATTTTTTACGTTTATCAATTTTTTAAATACATTTTACGATAAATTCACGCGCATTTTTGCGCGATTTGCGATCGATCGGTACGATATTTTGAGTCGGGAGTTTGTGGCAGAAGCGCACGCCGCCGGCCTCCGCCCGGAAGTCAGCTCTGACGTAGGTAGACCCAAGAAGCGTACGCTTCCATATTCTCGAGCATCAGGACGAGAGTAGAGCACGTGCTACGTTGCCGGTCCCCGCGCACACGACACGCGTCGCTCGTGCGAAAAATTGTGTAAGATTTTTTCGCCAAAAAACCTTCCTGCTTTATTGCGCTCTTGCGTCGATCATTGTTTGTGCACAACAGAGGTTAAAATATGAATGCCGAGAAGCTTAAGAAACTTCAGGCCCAAGTGCGAATCGGCGGCAAAGGTACACCCCGACGCAAGAAGAAGGTAGGTGCCGTATTATGTTATGTATTATGTAGGAATTTAGCTCGTTTTTTACCTTATCTCTTCATCATTCCAACGCAATCTTAATTTGTCGTTGTCACTAACACGCGTGTCGCCACATAGATTATTCTGATCTAAGTGAATAGTACGCGCGTGATATTGCAGAATTTCTATTTTAAGGACAACGAATGCAAATTAGTTATCTCCGTTTTTGTATATTACTTTGTTTTGCCCTGCATTTCTTGCTAATGTCACAAGAATTTGTTCAACAGAACTGTTGTGATAGCTTTTTTGACAATAGACTTCTAATTCATGTAGAAGTTAACAAACATAACATGTAGAAGTTAATAAACATTAACAAAATAACTTTATTTATTTATTGGAATATTCGTATTACATGGAATATCACAAAATGTACTGAAATGGCAGAAAATTATATTTGCATACTTTACAGTTAAATAACGCACTAACATTTTCTTTAAAGTGTTATAGAAGTTTGGACATTATTATTTTTATGTTCCTGTCATTTCTGACTTTCTCAGGTTGTGCACGCAACTGCAGCCACAGATGACAAAAAGTTACAGAGTTGTCTAAAGAAGCTTTCTGTAAATACAATTCCCGGTATAGAAGAGGTTAATATGATCAAAGATGATGGCACAGTGATTCACTTTAACAATCCAAAAGCACAAGCCAGTCTTTCTGCTAATACATTTGCCATCACTGGTCATGGTGAAAATAAACAAATAACAGAGATGTTGCCGGGAATTCTGAGCCAACTTGGCCCAGAGGGTCTGACACAGCTTAAACGATTAGCGAGTACAGTTGCCGGCAGCGCTGTTGGTAAAGCTACTTTGGAAGAGGATGATGAGGTGCCTGACTTAGTCGAGAACTTTGATGAAGCTAGCAAAGAAGAGGTACAAGTATAATAAAAATATTTAAGAAAAGTTTCTATAAATGTTTATATTATTACACAAATTATTATGTTCTCGTAAATTTTATTATTTTAAATCAATATAATTTGCAAAATATTAAATTCTATCTGCATTAAATATTATTATCTTTTGCATTGAATTTGTATATAATTTTGTACAAAAGTTGCTTATGTGAATTATAGATAATATTTGAATCAAATTATCTAAAACATATTTACATATAAATTATTGAAATATTTAAATTGTGAGTGTATTAAATTTATAATTGTACATATAATTTATAAATGTATGTTTATATAGCAATTATTACATATTATTGTTGGTTTATGAAACTAAATACTTTTACCATTGAAATAATATTATCAAAACACAGTACACATTTACTATTTGATATTTTGTGACTTATATTTTGTATATATATTTATAAATTACACATATACATTATACATATATATATATATATATTAATGTTTATCACATTTATATGTATATGTATATATTTATATATTTGCATGCATATATAAATATATATACATATATTAATTATTTGTGTATATAATATATAATTATTCAAACATTCAGAGAAAAGTTAAAAATTACATCTTGTTAACAAGTTAAAATGATAAGTAATAAACAAAAATTATTTTACATACACAATTTATAAATTTATAAATTAATTATAAAATAAGTAGAATAGAAATAAGATAAGACAATAAAATAAGATAGTTATTTTGTTGCTAGAGAATATGTTGAAATATATAAATTTGAATGAAATACTTTAAGGTTGCTCCAAAGAAGGATTTAGATGAAAATGATAAACCTAATGGCGACAAGAAAGATGCCATTATCATTGAAGAGAAGAAAGAAGCTCCATTAGCTACGCCTGAGGCTTAAGAAAGGATGTCGAGGTAATGAATCAATAAATATATACGGATGTTTTTGATATTTTTATCGTATTGTAATGAATAATAAACACAATATGTAATCTAATAATGTAAGAATAAAATAAAATGTAATCTATGACTTTGCTTTTTTTTCCAGATATTTCATATAATGAAATAGGTGTGTAATTGACGAGTCAAAAGAAGTGTGAATTGTAAAAGCAATGCATAAACGAAGCATAACTATGCACACGTTATAAATACTTGACATACACATATGATACTTGCTAATATAAGTAACAGTTGATAAGAAATAAAAAGCTGTTACAAAAATCAAAAAAATATTCCCCATCAAGATTTTTTTTATTTTGGTGCAATTATTAAAGATAGTTTTTGAATTAGCAAAAATACTCTTTAAGTCTGTATCAGATTACATATTGGAATTCAGTTAATACTTCTTAATACTGACTCGTTTTCTATTGACCTGGATGACCCAATTTTTAATTCACAATTCTCAATCTCCAATGTACAATCTGATATGAGCTTCACTCGCCAGTTAATATCGTGTGACGCTTTAAACGTTTAAAATGTCTAACTGCACTTGGGCATTGAGTTCAAGATTATAGAATTGTAACAGAGAACTAATGTGTTATGAAATTTATTATTAATGCATAAATAGAAATGCTTCTTTTCCTTAGAAATTACATTGAATTTTACATAATTATGTAATTACATTGAGAGAACCTTTATTTTATCCTAATCAAATGTAATATCTATTAGTGGCACACAGAAATATGTCAAGGAGAAATATATAAAACATTTAATCTAATTTGTAATGTTATGCAGAATGTCTCACTTTTACCATACTTTTGCTCGCAAACATTTTAACGAGTTTGAAGTATGTTTTTCTTACAAATTTTTTTCTGCACTTTAAAGATTTTAATATCTTGTTGATTATTTGCATTGAGTTGACTGATTTATCTTGGGTGATATCTATAATGTGAATAAAGTAATACAATCTAATTCTGGCCCTAATATATAGATTACAAAAATCAGTATGAAAGGGGGGCTTATGTCAGATGTTCACACAAATTTGTCTTTATTTATGTATATTGAAAACAAACGTTTCGATCATTGATGTGATTCTCTTCAGTATTTTTAACACCAATCTTTTTAAATTTAAAATTTTTATGTTTCTGCCTATTATACATATATGTACATAATAAAATTTGAAGACAGCGAACAACACAGTAAAGTAGACTCACAGGCTAGAATATACTCACACGGAAGAGAATCGAATCTGTTGACCAAAACGTTTAACAAAACACATAAAAGATATATTTATGCGAACATTTCGTCTTACAGTCAATATTCTCGCATAATCCAATTATACATTACATATGTATATGTTTTTCTTTGACAATTATATTATGAATATCGTAAATCTTGACATATATTTACGACATATATATGATGCTGTAAGCCTCTTTTTTTTATGTCTATATTTTATTGATGAGTGTACGTCCTGGATTTGTTCTTTAGATTGTTATCCATTTCAAAGTTAGAAGATCCATTATTTTAAGTCAAAGATTGTTTTACAGATATTTGTCAATAGATATTCAATAGAATTAACTGTATTATTATTATGATAGTTTGTAAAACTTGATTTTCGTTACTTGTTTCAATTACTGTAAACAAATTAATTTACTTTGAAATGTATTATGAAATATTTGATGTTGTCATTTCACTAGTTATTAATTTTTTAGCGGTAAACTTTGTGGATTTATATCCAATATTATACTTAAGTCAATGTTCTGACTGTCTGTAGGCTTGTCAGTAGGCAATTGATTTATTCGCTTACTCTCTGTATGTGAGATACTTTCCTACAGTTGATTGAGAAAAAAAACAGGAATTGATTCTGTGTAAGAAGAGAAGATCAAAGGAAAAGAATTTTGTACAAACATAACGAATTATTTCTATTATGTCTAACAGAAACTTACAAATTACAGCACATATTGTCAGATCTATGCATGAAGGTTGATTAATAAGTTCTCTAAAGTTCTCTATTTTATGCACACTTTTATCGATAAGTTATACAATAAATGAAATGATTATTAAAATACGTTACTCTGATTATTTGTGCCATCTTGATATGATCTGGCTCTTGATTTCAACAAATTACAGACAATATCCTATATTTTGCTGCGTCGTCTTGTAAAATATTTTTTTAACAACCAAAACAAAGGAAAATCTAAAGGATCGATCTCAGCTATAAGTGGAATAATTCAAAATTTACCATTGAAAAGGTTGCAGAAAGTCCACTGTTTGACATGCAATACACATCAGAAAAGCCAAGTTCATATTATTACAGAAAATTTTAATTCCATTTCAAAATATATATACACACGCTTGTGAAAACTATGTTGAAAAATAGTAAGAGTAATGTATTTTAATATTATTATTGGATTTAGTGCATAACTTATCAATAAAAATGTGTATAAAATAGGGAATCCGACTTATTAGTCAACCTTTGTGTACATTTATATGATCTGATGAAGCTTTTACGAAAAGTATATAAATATAAAATATAAGATATTTTAAAGAATATATATTTATGTATATAAATAAAATATACAAAGAACACTTGATTCACTGGAAAATTTTTTTAAATTTTGTCAAATATTAAGATTTATTATTAATTATTAAAAAAATTTTTTGTAGAAATTTTATTATCTCATACATGTATTTAATTCTATAACTGTTCATTTTTTAAGTTTTAACAAGTTCAACTTTTAATGAAATAATTCACGTTTTATTAAAACTAAAATTATTAAAACAATTTATGGCATATTAATAACTGTAGAGTTAAATTTTTATGTTGAAATGTATCAAATGTGCATAAATCTGACAACATTTACTGGAGGCCAAAGGCTCTTTCTACAACTATAGCAAATATTGAAAGTGTTTGCCATGTTTTCTCAAGATTCTTTTATTGATACTTGTTCTAATCATATTAAATATCATCAAAGATGAATTATTAACTAATGCTGATGATCTCAAAATCAAACAGTTTAATGAAGAAGCATAAATAATTTAATAAAAGTTTACATGAGATAGATATAATTGTATACTTTTTCAAGAATTTTTGAGTTCAAGAGATTCTTCCATTTCTATTCTAAATAGGAGCAATATTAATGCTCACGTTGATAAATAATATTAGATATGACATATATTTTCATCCTAAATATTGAAAAATCGATTGCATATTTATGAAAATTAAACGAGGGAAAGAAAATATAGTCGAATGTTTTACATGAAAAAATAATGAAAAGACACTTTGAATGAAACACGAGAATTTAAATAGAAAAATAGGGCGAGCAATAGTCGACGGCATAATTAAAACACTTCTGTTTTAATTGATAAAATCTATAACTATGCAAAAACGTGCAGTTTTAGTAACAGTCAGCTTCCAGTTCAGAAAATGGAACGTAATATTTTGTAATATAATTATTTTATCCTAAGATAAATTTATTTATTGGAAGCACACAGTTTTCTATTCAAACAGATCGTGTTTTCCGATATAATCGCAATCTTTCGCTCGAAGTCGATGTTTATATTTTTATTTATATGCTAAATCTGTAAGAACCATGTAACACGAAAAATATAGTAATAAGCCTCACATATTTTGGTACACTTTTCTATTTCAACATATTTTAATATGTAAATTTTACTAATTGAATTTTTATTAATAAGAACGAATAAGCCTCTATGATAATCCACCGAATAAAAAACTGTCTGAGCTTTAAATCGCAAACCGTAATCACAAAATCTCCAATTAACGTAAATTAATTTTTTAAACTGTTTGCTGCTTAAATATAGAAATAATGAGAAGAATATTAATTAGAAGATGTTTATACTAATTGGATTGGGATAAGAGTGAAATTAAGTGGCAAAAAAATACTAGATGATTCTTTTGTTCAGTCATGATATTTATTTTAGAATGTTCGTAGTTTCGCCCGTCGATTCATGACTATGCGCTAGCACACGATTTTGAGTTCGAGGTCATACATAAAAAGTTTACAATCTACTATGTACAGAGTGGAGAGTTGCGTTGCGCCAGAGAGTTACATTTATTATACGATTCGTTTAGACTTCAATCTAAGAAGAAAAAAAATAATCGATTGTGTTACGCGCAAGGTACCGTCTCTTTCGTTCCGCTTGTGTTAAAAAACTAAAAGCCTCTGTTATAGTCTCTGAAGCGAAAAAATAACGAAATCACTCTAGTATCAAAAATACCTCGATAAAATTATGTATATATTTTTATTGTGTAGAGAATTTTCACGTCTCGTGGATATCGCCGAACCTTTGGGATAAAACTCATTTTGAAGGTGCGTCGTTATGTTGCTCATTATTAGCATTAATAATGATTGTTAATTTATTATTAACCACATACGAAGGGTCCCTCCTTGTCTCTAAGTCAAATTCTAATGATACGTTGATAAATTTAAAGATTTCTTTTTTACGGGAAAAATATAGAAAAAGATGTAATTAAAAGACACTCAACAATTAAAGTCATACGATTAATTGATAATAAATAATAACAATAATAAATACACATAATAAATTAATAAATTATATATTATTTTTAACATTTATATACAAAATTCAAAGATTCTCATATATTAAAGTTCAATGTATAATAATTAAGAGATTAATGATAATCCATTAAACTTTTTTGTTAAGGAACATACAATTCATTAAAGAATCTATATATTAAAATTGCACTCCGCGTGTAACGCGATTTTATTATCATTTTATTATTCCGATTCTAAAAATCATTCGACGCGCCGATCAATGAATTTTGTTGTAGCTTGTCGTTGATGAATTACATATGAAAACGACTTAATGTAAATTCTTGAAAAACGATCCAGTAACATTGTATCATTCTATTGTAACATTTAAATCTTTTTTTTTTGTAGAGTATTCTCTTCGTTTAAAAGTACGCTTACGCGCATGGAAAATTTATCAGAGAATTTCGAGTCGCTGCAAAGATGAGGTCTAGAGATTACGCACCGCAATTCGCATTAACACATTCGTCTGTATTCTCACCGCATGTTTAGCACCAAATATTTACTTATTTTAATGGAAAAACCTTTAAAGTAAAAGAAAAAGGTGTATGAGTTATTAATACAATTGACAATAATGAAAGCTGTCTTATAATTGCGTTTAATTGTTAGGATTTAATAACGCCGTTGTTTCCTTCGACTTTCGTGAACTCTGCGTGTTTCATAAGAAACGCATTTGATATGTATATAAATAGCTACTGTATTAATTTCTCTGATTTGCTACTTTATGCTTAATTCTTAAGTTTTTATTTAATATCCACAAACGCGGATTTAAATATGTTTCGAGTGGTGAACGAGCTCACGAAAATCGAATTTAAACGTTTCGCTTTGGTCGAGAACGTTTAGAATCTTACGTTCATATTTAATAGTTAATATACATTGATTTAGTGCTAAACGGAAGGTACGAATACGGACCTTGTCGAAAGACGCTCGCTTTGTCTTTCGACGTGTTAATACGTTTATACATTTATTCTCCTAAACATCGTATTGGCTAGATGACGACATCAATGATGTATCTTGCATTTATATATAGTGTGACACTCTATTTGCGTAACGAGCTTTTAGAGGAAACATATCACGCGTTTATTATTTCCCCATGCATCTCGTTCGCCGAAACCTTGTAACGTTCGCAATGATTGTACACATACGTTTCTTTGACAATGATGACGCTACAACGTTATGAATTATATACATCGAACATTTCGTTTTTTTAGTGGACAAATAAATCCTCCCCCGTGATATCGCGCGTGTCTCGCATGCATATACAGACTTTCGCTACCCTTTTTTTTTGTCGGTCGATCCCTTAATCGTATTAAGCCCTTTCGTGCGATGTAGTTTTACCGCGCTGCGCTTTTCCGCGTTTTTCTTTTCGATTTTCCGCCTGAAAACAAAACGAGCAATGGATGACGAAAGCTCGTTATTGTACCATGAAGATTTATCACATTCGCGTCCGCGCTAATTAATGCGCGATTGATATAAATCGTTTGCTATTGTGAGTTTTGGATAAATGATTCCGTTTCACGCGGCGAACTGTTCTTGCCTTTTTTTTTTAAACATGCCATATTTTCAGTGTAAATTCGTACATCATTTCTGTAAATTAATTCTGATTAAATATAATTTCATTATTCAAGTTTAAATGCAAAATTAAATTTAACTAAAATTAATCAGAATTAATTTCTAGAATCCGTAGGACTTTATAGAAAAATTAAGTTTAGACTGCTTACTGTTTGGTTCGGCAAGAATTAAGGGCTCCACCGACACAAATCTTCCAAAATTGATGATAATTCCATACTTCTTCGATACTCTGATTCTTTAATACATTTTTGATTTACGTTACATACAAATAGGTCGTTTAATAAACATTTAGGATTGTCTAGCTAGTGATAAGTCCTCTTCACATGACTGGAAATGACGTCGCTTTAATGAGCAATGGAAGGTGTAGTATATATTATGCTCGGAATGTGGTTTATATGATTAAAATTATCTCATCTATTGCCGTTAGTTGGAAAGATTTACTTTAGCACCAAGTATTACGATTTTACAATACCTATTATTATTTATATTTATATTTCATGATGGAACATTGCTGTGTAGAGAAATACATACGCATTGTATACGTTCACTCATGAAATTTATCAAATGTTTTTAAAATTCCATACAATTTTTTAATCTAATAAGAAGATTATATAAAAATAAATCTTTACAGTTTTTATGATTAAAAGAATTAAAAATAAATTGTAAAAATGTATTTAAAAATATGATTAAATGATACATTATTATATTTTAATAATTAAATATATTTTTAAAACAGTGCATATCTAATTAATATTTTGAAATTTTAAAAACATTTGATCAATTTCGCAAGTTGTATTGTAAATACTGTGTTTTTTTTCAAAAGTCTCGAAAGATTAGTCGATTCCCTCATTTTCTAAATAATTTTAATTATTTACGCTGAAAATAAAATTTAACACGTTGACCGCCAACACCTGAACTGATGAATCTTAAGCCAATGAAAAATATTTTTATGTAATCATAGAGATTTCTAATTAATTCTAATCTAATATCTATCTTTTGTTATATTGGTATAAAAAAATTGTTGTTGAAACGTTCTTAGAAATACAATTTCGCCCAGTTATATTAATGTTATATTAATATTATTCGACAGATAATATGTTAAAACCGAAAACATTGAGATAGTTTCCACAATATGTATGTAAAGACTATGAAAATGAGAGAGTTAGGACAAGCTTCCGCGCGCTCTGATAGACCCATCGCGAAACGATCCTACTTCGATCGACCGCGCAGAATTTTGATAGTGTCATCTCGTTATCTCTTTCGGTACACTCTAAAACCATCCTTCGTTCTATCCTGCGGCCCGTGCAATTTCGATATTGGCCTTGGCTTATCCGGCGATCTGGCGAGGCGATTATCGCAGTGAAACACTCGCGTGCTGCACGATCGTGATTACGCGAGTCTCGAAATTTATCGTGAGCCAACTGGCTCGCGAGGCAAGCGGGAGACGTTCGACCTGAGATTTTGCGTCGGATTTCAGGACTTGATTCGACCCCAATCAAAATCAAACTAGCTCTAACTACTCCTAATGTCTTGCAAATTTCATTGCTGCCGTCTTGCTTACACGCAAAGTCCGCCCGCCGCCGCACTATCCATCCACCAAAGTACACAGATATACGCACCACGCACACAAACGCACACACACATAAACACACACACACACACACAATACAACACACATTTGTTACGGTGCATGCTCTTCGACGCGAGTTACCTCGTACCGAAGTATAATGCATCTCGAGCGTTCGCTTCGGCACCTTGTCGCTCCGCATAACTTGGATCAATGTTTTCAAAGGAATCCACTGTCCCCGCGTATCTCCTTCACCCCCTCGCCAACAGCCTCGATGAATCGGTTGCAGTCCCAAAATAGGGTAAACACAGTACAGCGTGATAGGCTTTTCGGGGCGTCCTATTGTTTGAAACGCGAACAGGTATCGAGCCGATTTTCTCATTTTTCAATGAATAGACTTGTTAACTTTAACTACCGGGTTGTTTGAGAGAAACATATATATGATGAATGAAAAAGGTATTTGCACACCTCACATCTTTTTAGAATAATTTTACATCAGAAAGAAAAATATATTGTGCTGCAAAAAATATATATATATATATACACGTATATATATACTCTTTTTTCGCAGAATTATACTAGTTATATTTATATTAATATATAAATATTAAATAGAACAAGTAAAGTATACTCTCCATAATATATATATTTTCTCTGTATAACAACATAAAAATATATATATTTCTCTATAACAGATATATTATTAATTAAAAGAGAACGCACATCACTCTTAGCAGCAACATTTCCTTTGTGTAAAATTGTTCCGTAGAAGATGGAAATGTGCAAGTACTTTTTTAATCTACTATATATATATATATATATATGTTTACGATGTTTCCGCCGTTATACAGTGTAAGCTTTAATTTTACAAATAATTAAAATTTACTTGAAAATTTTAAGTAAATAAAATAGACAAATAATTACAATAAAAATAGCACGATTTTCGATGGTTTGGTATGATATTCATATCTCGGAACTTACTTATGAAATAACGAAGAACGATAAGGAACGTGTCTAATCTATTTCGAGATCAGACAGCGAGCGATTTAATTTTCTAATCATATCTTTTTGATTAGCACGTGAATTCTAAATTAATGACGTTTCGTGAATTTGTCGTCTGTTCCCTCGTGGGATAACTTCCGGAAACAAGCAAGCGAAACACGCAATTACTTTGAATTCCCAATTGCTTTTGATTTCTTTAATGTTGATCCGCTTCGTTGGATACGTTTAAAGGCCGGAAAGAAATTTCCGAGAAAATGCGATCTCACTTCTGTGTATGTACCGTTCTTTCTTCGGGAACAATTTATGATTGTTGACGCTGCTCGATTGCTCTCACCGTAAAACATTGAACGTTCGTCCGTTTAACGAAATCAAAAGATCACAAAGGAATCAGAAGGAAATACATTAGTGGCTTTGTTCGGACAGCTTCAGCCACTCGATATACTGCCTATAATAGTAGTAACCGATTGCATTTTCCGAGTCAGCGGTCAGATTGATTGCAATAAACGATCGCAAACTTGGGAAGAAGAAAATGCGCATTCTTCCGCGATGCAAAGTTTTAATGCTACTCCTCCGCAATGCTTTTATTTCGCCGGACAGCGACGTGACGAATGTATAGAGAAACACACACACAAGCTCTTTATTCTCTCTCTCTCTCTCCCTCTCGCTCTGTCTGTTTCTCTCGTTCCGACACGCCGAAGTCCGAAGCTTCGATTATCGACGTCAGCAACGCGATGACAATGTAGAAAATTCAATCTCGCTCGCTGTCGCCGTCTCGTTGGCGTCTCCGTGGAGAATAAAATCCGAGTCGTAGAACACGTTTCCCCTGTGTCCTTTCTTCTCTATCCCGCCCCCTTTCTTTTCTGATTGTCTTGTACAACGCAATTGTTTGCACGATCGTTTTGTCTGCATTCAAGTTGCGCGATATTTATACAAGTCAATCAACTTCCTCATTTCTCGCTGGCTTTGCTCTCTAAAAATTGCCTTATACATGCTGTTGATTGATTATTTTATTTTTTTCTTGCTTAATTTAGTTGATTCAATAAATTTTCAGTAGATATAAGCTCAACTCACACCGACAATTTGTTTTAATTCGAGAGAAAATAAAATATAAAATATTTTTTTAAATTTGCGTCACAATAATTGTTATCATTCTATCAATTTGATCTGTAAAATTAAACTGTCCCAAAATTAAAATCATTTAATTGAAAAATAAATAAACAATTAGAACAACGCAAATAAAATTTTCATGTTTGACATTTGACATCGATATGTTTTGCTGCCGAAATTTATGTGGGATTATTACAGCTGGTGATTCGCACAACCGTTACATTTACGATTTCTACATCATAAATCTTTATTGCTCCGTGAATGTGTTCCCGATGATAATTCCGATCTATCGCACGTCACCTTTTTTCCCGAGATATAACAATTTCTCGCGTGACGATTAATTTTCACGATTTATTGCGCGCTATTCACCACCCGCCGTGCTCGTGTCTGCCTGACCTTAACGATCTTTTTTCTCCCGCCAAGGTGAGAACAGCTGATTTCGACGATCGAACAGCTGCACATTACATTGTAATTATCCGCAATTTGAGAACCCGAAAAAGCGATCTTATCTCGTTTCGCATGTCTCAATTTTTTTTCCGAATGAATTTCGTGATTCGTGTATCTCATGATTACCTGTAATTTTAATCAAAGTTACACGCAAAATCCGCTTTAATTGATCTATAATTCCCAACAGAATGGCACGGAATACAAAATCATAATATGCGATACGGATGCAAAGCACGTATCAAAATACAGACATATCATAATATATGGCGTGTAAAATCATATATCTCGAATTCTGTGTTGCGATCGTCCAAAATACGTTCAACTAAACAGCTAAAGTCTTTCTTCTTTCATTCTTCCATTATGCAATGTATTTAATTCATAGACGGTGACAACTATTCAAACATTTTTTAATTAAATAACTTACACAATGCAAAGGATTTAAATCTTTCTTTTTTTATATATGCAATGTCATTATTATTCTTTATATATAAAAAAAAAGAAAATTTAAATAATTATCTTATTACGAGCTGTCCACAACTTTATAATATATATAATCGCAAGTTTTAAAAAGTTTAGATTCAAGATAATTTGAAAATAAGCTCTTGAATTATCCTTGGCGAATAAAGCCGAGTTAGTCGAGCCAAGTTCTCGATAATGAGATCGGAAATACTTCTTTCGTGACTGAAAATTGCTCTTTGACCTTTAGCGGTATCAGTTCGTACGTGAATCTCGAGTTTATCAGCGCAACTGATCGCACAGTTGCTGTCTCTTTTTTTTCTCTCTCTCTCTCTCTCTCGGTTGGTCTCTTATCGGTGTTGGGATCACAGACGGTCCAGCACCGTAGATCCGATCACAGGAGAATCTCCCGAGAGACATTCCCGCGCGATTCGCTCGTTACACGGTCGAAGGATGAAAATCGTCCTGTCGTCGACGTTTTGAAACGACAACGCGCGGTATCGGCACCGCGATCTTCATTGATTGCACCGCGATCTTCATTGATCGCGATCGATCATAAGAGGATCTCGTTGGGCGCGCCGGCGAGGCCGATGGCGACGTGGAGGGGCTCGATGCAGCACGATGACGGCGGTCTCCGTCGGATATTACGGTCCTCGACGTGCGAGGAACGTTCCTCGGATCATAGGAAGCTTTCGTTGGGCGCGCTGGCGACGTCGACCGATTCGACGATGCCCTGATTGCTGTCGTCGTAATGTTCCGCGCTCTCGGCGCTCTCCGCGCCGCCGTAACCGCCGCCGGCGCCCGCTTTGATCTCGTAGTTATTAACCGGATCGCCGTATTGGCTCTGATAGAACTCCTCGCGCATCATGTGATTGAGATTGCCGCAACGGAAGAAGAGTATCTCGCGGAACGGCTTTCGGAAGTCCTTGTTGAGGATCGCGTAGATAATCGGATTCAGCAGGCTGTTGCAGTAGCCGAGCCAAAGGAAGAAGTCCGACAGGAAGGCCGGGATCGTGTCCGGGTCTCGGAGGAACGGTCTGATCAGCGCGAGAACGAAGAACGGTAGCCAGCAACCGATAAACGCGCCCATGATTATGCCCAGGGTGGTGCTGGCCTTCCGCTCCTTCGCCAGGTGGAAGCGCAGTTTCTTCTGATGCGGCGAATTGGTGACGCTGCACGTGCTATTCAGGTGGTTGCGTACGAGCGTCGTTGTCGTTATCTGCTTCGCCGTCGACGACGTCATCGACGGCGTCGTCGCCGTCGACAGCACCGGCTTCTCTATCCTCTGCAGCATCGGGCACTGCGACTCGTTGCTCTTGCGTGGACCGCCGGTGAAGCACCGAACCGCGTGACCGCTGCACTGTAAGAGAAGAAGAATTCAACACGCGTTATTTTTTACAATTGGAATAGAACACGAAAAGGAAATAAATATAAATAGCCTAGTGCGAATTGCGTTTCGGCATGCGGGATGTATTATTCAGAATATTATCTCTGTTCCGTTATATGCTATGCATTGAATCATAAATAATATTTCCGACACAAAAACATTTTTATCTTTTTCTGAACATCCTGCATATATCACTCTGATTCCATCTTATTAATAAATAACTCTTCAGTTATTTAAAGGATTGCATTGTTTACTGTCTCATCATTAGGATTGAGATACTCGATCGAAAAGAGATAGATATTTGTTATCTGCCTGCAAAGTTATTGTTGAATCAACTCAATACGTATTAAAAATAATTTTTTAATTATAATATTATAATAAAATTTCTAGTAAAACAATTCTCTCATATGGTTTAATAATACTACATTATTTAATAATGTGTAATTTGCACAGGTCAGGAATCAAACCACAAACTGCTTTTCTTCAGTCGGAAAGGATTTAAGTAGATGAGCACTATCAAAGGCACGCCGCCGACTATTGCCGCTGGCTGGCTTATTCGATAGCATTCTACTCATTGGACACAATATATTCAAGTATGTATCCAAAATGCATATCCTCACGCATGTAATATATTATATATATATAATGTATATATAAAATAAAAATATATTAATTTTAAGTTAAATTAAATTTAAAAATTACTGATATAATAAACAATTAACAATATAATTATATAGTAATATAATAATTGATAGAATAAGTGATATTAAATATATGAAAAGAGAGAAAAAAAGCACATCATATAAAAACAAATTTTTATAACTATTTTTACAATATGAATATGAATATCAATTTTTGAACCTTTTTAATGTTGAACGGAATAAATAACGTTCCTTGCAAGCGACATTAAATTTTTCAGCGGGTATATATTACACTTAGAATTACACTCAGAAATGATTTTCAATTTCGTTCGTAGTATCTTAATGCATTTCAGTGCACTTTTGCGTGAAAGGGAGCCCGGGTGCGGACTAAGTACTAAAGCATTTTCCAAGCCATTCGCGAAATACTTTCTGCGTGCGAGACATTTCTACACTTGCGAGAACTCCTTTTCAAAAAGGTACTTCTCTCTCTAGAAATTCCCACAAAAGATGCGGTATGGACATACCTGTACCGAATATCGAAGTTAATTCATACGCGAAAAATCATTCTTGGAATGTTGCTCTTGAATTACCTTCAAAGAGCTGAAAATAGTTTTCCTTCGTGAAATACGCACGCGGGCTTCCACCGCGATTCACGACCGTATTTACATAGAACACGATCTTTAGATATTAAGCAAATGAGACCACTGGAGCAACGACCACTTTAACGTAGTGTGGTTGATTGTGGTTGTGCCGAAAGTGCGCGGTTCTTTATGTTTAAATCATCAAGCGTATGCGGTTTCTATTGATTTTCTCATTGAGGAAGAAGGAGGGCCGAGAAATTATTCTATTTGGAGTTACACGACTGTTAGAACACGCCGTTTGTTTTTGTAAGCACCGATGTAAATTCACGACACGCCGCGGCGGAAATGGAGCGACGCGAAGAAGCGTTATATAACTAAGTCAAAATGCAGATGAGTCTTTCCGACCTCAGAAATGTAGATGACACTTAAGGTAATTGAGAAGCGGAAATACTCGCGGTTTTGAAACAGAGAGGGAGGATCGGACAACAAAAAGCTCGGTGATCTGCTCGGATCCTCGATGAGAAGAAATTTCGACTTTTTTTGCAATCGCGTGTTTTTACTATCGATATCGATCGTTCCTCTGGCCCCAATTTTAGGAAATATCTCGCTTCTCTCCGCAGGAAGTTTCGATCAACATATCTTCTCATTTATTTTTCGCTACTAAAAGTTTCTCAAGGCAAAGTGCGATTGCGAATAATTTGCAATAACGATTGCATAAGCTAAAATCGCATTAATTTTGCTAGAAATTAAATTAATTTCTTCTGAATCATTTTAATAGGGGAATAAATTTCGATAGTAAGAATATTTTTAATTTTACAATTTCATATTTTTGTAATATATAATTTTGTAAATAAATTTTAAAGATCAGGTTCTTATCGATCTTTTACTGTCGGCTGGATTTAAATAAATCTGATATTTTTTTTATATTTATTTTATAAATACAAAGTAATTATGGTTAATTAGAAATAAAAAGTTCTTTATAGAAGTTTTTTGTACTCGGAAAAAAACGCGGATTTAAAAAAAAAATGGCAAAGTAGAAGATTTTGTTTGACGAACTTTCTACTTCTTTCATATAATCGCCGTGACTAACTACGTAACTCGGAATTACTGAAATACTTTCGCTCTTAAAAACTCGCCGATTAGAGCAGTTTATTACGAGTGGTGAGCTACTACAGCTCTGCAACGAAACGAGAGTTCACAATTTGTTACAAGGCATCGTTGCCGTATGAATTCGTAATGACCGACACGACAGTTACTTCACTCTGTGTTCCGTTTCAGAACAGTAGTCTTGTCAAGGAGACTCGTTAAATATTTGATTTCAGGTCGTCGTAAAGTAGGCGACTGTCCAGACGGTTCTTGCAAGCGCATTGCTTACACGCGCGAAAGCCTCGCCTTTCACATGTCGCCATCAGCTTTAGATTAATTGTTAAACCAAATTAAATGAAATTTATTAACAGCAATAAAGCTATATAATAACAAACAAAATAAAAGAAATTAAAATATACAATAATCGGAAAATAATTAATAAATTAATTAAACTGCAGCCGTTCTGTAATCATTGTTTTCGATTATACGGCAATTTTCGATTTCGCGAACGATTGTTTCGATTGGAAAAGCATCTGAGAGCGTCCGCGATGACATCTCCTCGTAACAAAAGCGTCGTCTACATGTAGCGAGAGAGGAAAACTACTTGTAGATGAAGAGATAATGTCTTACCACTGTCAAATTATCCGGCTTGTCGGCGCGTACCTTCGATCTCATCTACAACAGACAAGTGTTTTACGAACACTTTCAGACTCAGATCAGAGACACGATGTCCTTTCACTACTATTGCGATATGAGTCAAGATAATGCAATATGGCTGGTAAGGGAAAGGGTTATAGGGAATCATGAATACACCCACGAGATCAACATATGGGCATGCTACGATGGTAGGATCGGATGATTGATGTATAAGCCACTAATTTCGCACTGGTAATCCCCAAAGCTTGCGTAAATTAAATTGGAAATCTGACACGAAATTAGGATAAATCCATTATTGAGCAGTGTATACGCTACGCGCAGTGCGCGCGACGTTTTCGTCGTTGACACGCTCGATTAGATTCCGAAACCCACGTGACACATAATCCCTGACACGGATTTTTAAGTACAAACGGTATTAGTCGGCGAGTGTGAAACGAAGAAGCGTGTTGATGTCGCTCGCTCGAACGTTCCAAACGAGCAAAGAGAGTTTGATTCGGTTACGGGATTTCAATCCGGATATGTTACGCGTGGGAAAGTGTACAGAGTGTTCTACACTCTTGTATTTCCTTCTCTTAAAAAATCGCGAATGTTTTGAATAATTTCAAGGTGATTTTTTTCTTTGCAACAAAGAATATAAAGATATTAATAGATTTTGGTCTTAAGCATTAAAAATGAAAAGCTTTTTATGGCGAATAAAACTTTAGAGATAAAAATTTTCTTTTTTTTAGAAAAAAATGTTAAATTCAGGGAAGAATGTTAAAATTTAGAATTTAGATTCGTAGAATTATGAAATTATAAAAATATAAATTAAAAAAAATTAGAACAAAATTGTAGGAAAAAGTTTACAAAAGACTTTAGAATTTAGAGTTTCGGATGCGGATTTTTACAAAGGAGAAGAATTTTATCTCGCAAATTCCAACTTCAGAGTTTTGTTTACGCACACAAGAAGATCCATGACTCGTTAACATGATACGTGAGTATTTTACGTTACGTCGGTCCATTATCACGAAGCTCTGAGAGAGCGCGCGAGTTGTGACAGCACGGGATGACGATTTTAGTTGATTTTAGAGTGCTCGTGAGAGACAGTGTGACATAACGACGTCATGCACTACGTGATAGATGGTCGTCCGGATAGACTATGGTGCGAGAATCTCGTTGTAAAATTTCAGTGCCGTGGCATATCCTATAAAGCTCGCTTTACCACTCTGATATATACAGCGTATTCGTTTCGCAAGGACAGGTCAATCTTGTCTTATTAGCATTCCGAATTAAAAAGTTTCCGAGGAAAAATTTCTTTCGTTTCTTCGAAATCCATTCGACAAAGCAGCTTGTCTGTAACTTTTTTTTACAGGATCTGTCCTATCTAAAATCGTGAATTGATTAAAGGAGAAATTTTGAAGTAAAGGTGGTAGTACGTAAAAGTTGGAATTGTCGGACAAATTCAACGGACATGTAAAATTAATTAGTGATCCTAAAGCTATATCTATATTTCAAGTAACATATCAAAAGTAATTCTTTTTGTATGCAATGCTAATATTTGTGACAAGATAAACGAACGCGCACAGTTACATTTTGAGAATTCAATTTGAGAGAATATATTTTGTTGACGTGTTTTATCCGCATGTTGTCGGCGTTCGTTCACATTGCAAATTAAGCGACTACGCGTTGTGCTATTCGAAATTCGCGTTTTCCAATAAGCATAGCTAATTAAAGGTCGGGATGTAAATATTATATACACGCGCGTTTCCCTGCATTTGTTAATACATATTACAATGTATTTCCTGTCTCATTTCGTCGCATTTCCTGTTCCAACATATTAAAATTAATCATCGAGGGTACATCGCCGCGCGGGAATGACCAGTCGTTTGGCCGCTGTAATTACAATAAAACGTTTATTAAATTTAAATACGATTCGACAAACTTTTCAATAAACGACAAACGTGTTATCTACTGTGAGTACGTAATACAGAATCTCGCGTCATCGAGAAGCTCGAATAGAGCGAATAAT